GCGCTGAGGCGGGTCCCTCTCTCCCCTGCTGATGCTCACATTGCCCCTGCATCCTCTGCAGGACAAGAAGCTCATCAAGGCCTTCTTCGAGGTGCTGGCGCACCCCCAGAACTACTTCAAATACACGGAGAAGCACAAGGAGATGCTGCCAAAGTCCTTCATCAAGCTGCTGCGCTCCAAAGTTTCCAGCTTCCTGAGGCCCTACAAGTAGTGCCCTCTGCCCCAGACCCAGGCTTTGAAGACCCCAGATGCCTCAGCCCTCAGAGCCGGCAGCCCCCACCCCCAGATAAGGAACTCTCTCCTCTCTTTTAGAGAAAAAAAAAATCACTATATAGACCCAAGAACTCTCCCTTTCTGTCGCTCTAGCTTCCTTTCCTTGTCTCTCTGCCTCTCTCTCTCTCTCTCTACCTCTCTCCTGTTTTTCCTTTTCCTGCATTCTCCCTGGAAAAGCCATTTAGTACTGGCTGTATTCCCCCTGAGGGGCGCAGGAACAGTACCCCTCCAGCCACACCGCCCACTTTACCAGCTCACATCTCTAACCCCTTCAGCTTAGAAGAATGCTAGAGGCCCAGGAAAGAAGTGGGTCTGCTGGGGAATGGGGAGGGAGAAGAGGGGCTTCTGCCATTATAAGGTTGTGCCTTACTAGTCAGGAACCAAAATGTCCCCTGGCTGGGCCCCCCCACCTGCCCCCCTGCCCCCAGGTGATTCTAACAACCCAAGGTTCTGTCAAAGAGGCCGTTGACTTACAGGCTTAATGCTAGCACTGGTCCTCTGGGGCACGTGGTGTGAGCTCTGGACCTTGGGTTTGAGCTCTGGACCGCCCACAGCCGCTTCCGGGTCTAGACAGCTCCTCTACTTCTGCCATGTCTGCTTGGGTCCAATCCACGAGGGCTTACAGAAGGCCCACACCACTGGGCTGGTGGACACAGCGAGTGAGGACGAGCAGCAGGCATTACCGTGTTGAAAGTGCTGCTGTCACTCCCCATGAAAAAGACTATATATATCGCTCTGCAGGACAGAAACCAGGTTCTATAGCATCGCCAAGAAAAAGAAAAAAGAAAAAAAAAAGCAAAGAAATTGCATCATCTAAAGGACTAGACTACAGAACAACTGGAAGCCAGCCTCAAACCCTGATCCTTTTTCTTGTCTTCCCTGGCCCAGCCATCCCCTCCCCTGATCCGAGTGCTCCCTGGGGGAGCCCTACTCCCCTTGCTAAGTGCTGTCCTTAAAGAAACATGGCTGCTAAGCAGAAGCCAGCCTGGGCCTGACCCCAGACTCGGCTTTCCCTTGTAGCCTCAGATGGCTTGTGGGCTCCACCAAAGAGGACCCCACTCTGCAGCCAGCCCAGAGCCACCTACCTCTGGCCCCAGGCTATGGGCAGCAAGAGGAATGCGTGTGCACTTGGCAAGCCTTCTGCCCACCCCGTCTACATCTAATACGTGCAATCATTACGTCTATGTTGTCTAGAGGGAGGGGTTTTGTTTTCTGGTTTTGTTTCTTTCTCCTGTGTCAGAGCAACCCTATTTATAGCTGCCCGCAACAGAGGAGTCTATGTTTGGAGTGAAGAGAAAGGTTTTGAATCTCATGAACTTTGAGTGCTGGAGCATCTGATCTGTCTGTACTCCTCACCCAGGGGCCATCCACACCTCCTGAGCTCTCGGTGTGGGTAACCCAGGGCTGTAACTCCAAGGCACCTGACGTGTAGGACAGTAATTCTGGGGACTTTGTGGAGCAGGAAGGAGAGGGACCTGTGTTTGCTAAACCAGTCCTGCTACCCCTATGCCTCTCCATGATTCAGTATGGACCTCATGATTGTAGAAGGCGATGGAACTGGTCAGTGATTCTCTACCCCAAGAGGGAAACCTCCATCTTTTCCCTGCCTTCCTCCCGTTTTCCCTTGGTGTGCACATGGAAGAGGACCAGGACAAACCCCCTGGGGATGGGCTGACCAAGGGCCCTGAGGCCAGAGACAAGGCTGAGGAAGCCAAGAATAGGACAGGTATCCAGGCATGAAGCTGTTTGCCTGAACTTGGCCATCCCCTCTCTGAGTTGACTTCAAGCCTAGTTGCCTCAATTACTGCTTTTCAAAAGGAAGAAGAAGTAAGTCCATGCGTAAGCCTCAATCCACTGCTGCCTGTAAAATTATTTTCCACTTGTTCCTTCTCATTCCCCCAAAGCTGTGGTCCTAGTCAATCAAAGGCTACCAATGACTCATAGTGTTTATTTCCAAGTGACTGTTCTAGGCCACTGCTCCCCAGGAGACGCCACACTAAGTAAAGCCTGACCTCCACCCCCTTTCCCCAGTCAGTAGCATTACTATCCAAACAGCCTTAAGGAGTACGTAGCCAATGTCACAGCTATATCCCCTCACATCCACTAGCCACACCATGGCTCTTAGGGGTGGAGTATCTGTCTCCCTTTGTGTCTCTGGATCAAAGATGGTGTCACTATAAAGATCCAAAATAGCTGCCTCCAAGCAGGGAAATGGTCAGTTAATGCATACTTCCTGGAATAGGCCATAAAAACTGATTTTTTTATTAACTTTGACCAGCCTCATTCTCTGCCAGGAGCTAGGATAACGTTCTGATTCCTCTCTTCCTACCATTTGCATCTCTCTTAGAAAGCCAGCCGGGGTGCTTCCCAAATTACGCCCTCAGGGTCTGGCTTCTTGCACGCACACTTCCTTTCCTGTTACCCCCTACCCCCTACGTATACAAACATGCTTCCTCCAATCGTCTACTCCATGGTTTCTGGGACCTGCAGATGATTTCCACAGTTTGGAAAGTACAGGCCACTAACTAGGCTTCTTAACTGATGTCCAGGCAGATCTTGGAGAGCAGGTGAAGACCTGCTGAAGTCCACCAAGTTTAATTGAGGTTGTCCAGATAGGGGGGTGGGGGGAGGTGTAAGAACCCAGACAGCTGTCCACTGAACCTATGGAGGAAGCCAGCCCTGGGGCATCAAACTCACTGAATGAGGACTCAACACTCAGGGACTCTCCCAGTGGTTCTCAACCTTCCTCATGCCGCGACCAACCATAAAACTATTTTCGTTGCTACTTCATAACTGTAATGTTGCTACTGTTATGAATCATAATGTAAATATCTGATATGCAGGATGTATTTTCAGGGGTCGCGACCCAGGCTGGGGAAGTGGAAAGATGGTGTAAACGGGAATCCTTCATGAATCGGCCCAGAGGCCGCTCAGCAGGATGGGTGTTTACAGGGCCACAGTACTCATAAGGCTTCATTTCTCTTAGTACAAAATCTGCCCTGATCTGAGTCTGGGAATGGAAAGCCATTTCTGGAGGGGCTCTGAGCATCAAGTAATGCGTATCAGAAAGGCACTTAGAGCCTCAGCAACATGTAACCCCTTTTACTTCTCTGCCTCCCTCTTTCTGAACTGGACCAGGCCCGTTCGCTAAGCCTGAGGGAACTCTCCTACAAATGCCCAGAGGCTGGCATTGAGCTATGACTGTTCTGACTTCCCCAGGATTGATGGGTTTAGTTTGGTGGAGGCTCATATTTGTTGCTGAAAGTTCAGTAATACAGTCCTGATTTTTGGTACTAATGAAACTTTTTATATTTGAGAATGTTCTCCATATGCATATGTAAGGTGATTCTGGAGTGGATTAGGAGGTCATATCTCAAAATGTCAGAAAACGTTATGGAGCATTCAAACTTTTGTATATGCTGCTTAACCTCAATATAAGAGGCTCAACCTAGGAGACAAAGGGAGACAAAGGATAACTGACCATTGCCAGGAAATAATGTTTATCTGCTTGGCTTCTTAAGCACAGTCAGAAAAAAGTGGAAGCAAATAACACAAGGATGTCTTTAAATTCAACCTGTCTCAATGGCAGCACATCCTGTCCTTGGGCCATTATGTGGACTAGTAACCCTTTCAGAAAATATATGATTACAGGGAATAGAATCCCCAGTTCTCTTATCAGCCTGTCTAGACAACACAGACAATAGTAGTATGGACAAACTGAAAACTTCATTCATTTGTGTGAGTTGAACTGAAGTTTCAGAATAACCATTATCACGTAGGAGGTTTTCTTTTTTCCATGCGGAAGAAATCTCAAAATATTGTATTTATATCTGCCTTCCACTGCTGCCGATATAACAAGTATCTCCTACACAATCAACAATAAACAGTAAATGATGCAGTTCATAGAATATTTTGCACTTGGAGAAAAAATGTATCTGAACTTGTAAAAAGAAATGTTTGGATTTTGTATTGTCCTTTTTTATTATTATTATTATTAAAATACTTAATGAAACTCCTCAGCCTGGCATCTTTCCTCCGTCTCAGTAACTTATCCTAGAGCCAGAAAAAGCTGTGAGGAAACAAAGTGTCTTCTGGCTTCTGCACTTACCCAGATTTTTCATTCCCCCACCTTATTCCTTAGAATTTGAAAAGGCGTGTCCCTTTTGTCTATTTTTAAAAGCAGTATCAAAAATTAGCCCCCAAGGGGGACCTAGGGAGCAGGGGAAATTTAGGATATTGTTCCTCCTCATCACAGTACGTTTCCCAAAATCTGGCCCGGGCCACGTGGCTCAGACGCCTCCCTAGTTAAGCTGTCCCACCTCTAGCCCAGTACCAGCAACGAGACTCCCCCCGGCCTGTGCTTTTCATGCTGTACATTCTAGCCATGAAACAGAAGTGTGACATTTTACCACCATTACTACAGGGCACGGGAGAGCAAGCTCCAATCTCATAAATGAGCAGTCCCAAATTCTAGGTTCAGATGACAGGTAAATCTTCATTGTTGCAATTTTATAATTTTCCGACATGAAATTTGGGGCCACCAACTTGGGGCCATTCTCTGACTTCTCTCCTAATCTTCTTATATTACAAAAACACCAAGTCTTCCCTCTTCTGCCTAGGACACTAGCAATGATGACCCAGAATAATGTACAGTGGAGTACAGATCAGCTCATACCAAGCAGTCTTTAAAATGGGGCACATGAAGACTTTCCAAGGCAAGGACATCAATCTGAAGAGAGTTTTAAGGGAATAAATTTCCAGATCCTCAACGTCTGTAAGAAATCTTCCCTAAAACTAATCTGTTTGAGAGCCAGTGGCATATTCATGCACATTTCCATTCTACCTCCTCTTTCATCACAGTCCTCGCCAAAAGAAAGGCATATTCCTCACCCACTCTGAATCTTAATGCATGGCCAGAGTGTAAAAACCTGGGAGTGGGAGGGAGGGGC